CCACTACCACTACCACTACCACTACCACTACCACTACCACTACCACTGCGACTGCTACTACTGCTACTACTACTACTACTACAGCTACAGCTACAGCTACAGCTACGACTACTACCACCGCTACCGCTCCTGCTCCTGCTGCTGCATTTGCAACTGCAACTGCAACAAGTACTACTGTAGTCGTCACTCGAGTCGTGTTTGATGGCCGGGCTTTCTGTGACAGCGAACACTTCGAGGCTTGTGGGGCACAAGAGTGGACAGGTGTCGTTGTTCCAACCTTGGGAGCTAGTCAGTGTTTGTAGCAACATGTCCAACGGATTTGCGGTGGGGTCATGGTGGAATTGTACTTAGGTGGGACCTGGCGTCACACAAGGTTTCTTGTGTTGTGCTGGAACCCTGGAGCTGCAGTGCCACTCAGCTCATTTGGAGATGCTTCAATCCAAGGCAAGACGTACATTCATCACCAGTGCTGTCGCTGGCATTTTGCCGCCCTAGTCAGAGCCCTGGTAGAGTTCGTTGCACATGACGTTGGGACTTCGCGCAACTCCGTATGGAGAGTTGTGGGAAGGGATTCTTGGATGGTCCGGAGATCTCCAGAGGTTTCGAAGAATTTCATCAAGGGTTCCAGTCTCTCACGGTTGTACGGTTCAGAAAAGAAAGTCCCAAGGAGGTGAATACCTTGCTGTTTTTCGTCCTATTCGGGTGGTATTCCGGGATTATTCAATTCGTAACTTGGACATGTTGCTTTTCACGTGTTTGCGTGCTGTGGCTTTTTCCTATCCGAATGCATCAGACCATGTGGCCACAGCTAATGAAGATCCAGAGTGGAAGAAATGCTTGTTGACAACAATGCCGACTATATGACTGTCTTCTTACACTCCAGTAGCCAGCACGTGGGTGCATCTTGAATTGAACAACCAATTCAAGGCTGGCAATATGCACTGTCAGCTGACGCGAAAGGAAGTGCAATCACCTCAGTGGATTCTTTTTTGGCCTTTTGAGAGCTGCCTGGCCCTTCTCGCAGCCTTGCCCGATATGCCTCCAATGTGTCGCAGCTGCTAGGTCTATTTCATTAGCTTTTTCACCGGCACATTTGGTCGTTTGGGGCTTTGGATGGAGACATGCCCTCCCAAGATGTCACTACTCACTGCTTTCCACTTTTGTTCAATTGCTCGAGGCCTGGACTTTGAAAAGCAGCTCCTTTTGGAGCAGTCCTCCAACATAGGAGTTTGGACACTTGGAACATGTGCTTCTTCCACTTGTACAATGTTGTACATATTCTTTTTGCGAGACCCCTTTTGTCTCAGACCTGCGATGTTTTTCTTAGTGATACATGGCCAGGCTTCCTGAGTCAGGTTTACTCTGCTGCTTTTCTCTTTGTTTCTACGGCTGGCTGTTTCGTAGATTGTCCCACAGGTTACGCTGCGTGTGCTTCCGCTTCAGGCTCTAGAGTCATGCAATGTGCGTGCAAGATATCCAAAGGTCCTTAAAGGTATCCAAAGGTCCTTAAAGGTCTAAGTTTGGAAATTAACTTCTGAGGCGACACAGTGGCTCATGCTGTGCTAGAATTTATGGTGGCAAATGTTTAAGTAGTCTAATGCTGATGGTTCAGGCTTCATCACAACAAAATCATCCTGCATGCAGCTTAGATCGTGTCCTGGGTCGTTGTATTTCCAAAAGATGAAACGATTGTAGCTGAGCTGGAGGCTGACTCGCACTGCCTTGTAGCACTCTGTGCAAGCAGTGCCACGGTCCTTTTGACACTGCATCCAAGTGCCAGCGTGCGGGCCTAGTTCTCGAGAGTCTGCCTTGTTTCATTCCAGCATGATCCAGGTTGTACAGAAGATCCAGTATAATGCCAAAGATGCGACTCAGTTGCACATGCGCGGGTAGTTGCGAATCATGACTCCAAAATTTCACAAGCTATTGGCTTACATGATTCTGATGGGCTGACCTTGTCTTGGCTCATACATCGAGCTTGAAGCACTGCAAGGCTTCATGGGTTCCCGATGTCACATGGCTTCGCTTGGAATCGCAGGACATACTGTATTCACTTCATGTAGACGGCAAGTGTGGCTAGGCCTAGGCCCATTGGCCCCCATCTACTCAACATCTCTACATCGGAGTTGTGCCACCTGTTCCAAGTGATAGACGGCGATGCATTTCAGGACTTGGCACAGCCCGCAGAGGCACGATTGAGCTATTAGTGAAATCCCAGAACTTCAAAATATCTAGGAATCAAATTATTAAGCAGTAGGTTGCAGGCCATCGCTATTAGGTTGGAGGCTATCTCTAGTAGGTTGGAGGCCATCGCTATTACTGTAGAAACAAAGGAACACATAACAAGAAAAAAGGTCATATACAAGCAGTTCCCGGGCAAGCCGGCGGCGGAAGTTTGCTACAAGAACAAATTGACCTATAGGAGTGTTCCGGTTCTCTCAAACACTTGCGTCCCCCAGTCAAACGCACGCGCTCCGGACTTTTGATCAACACAGCGCTGCGTACTAAAGTTGTACTGCAAAATGGCCAGATGACTCAGCAACCACAGATGACTCAGCAGCGAGAGACGACTCAGTCGCGAGAGATGACTCAGCAGCGACAGATGACTCAGTCGCGAGAGATGACTCAGGAGCGGGAAATGACTCAGCAGCGAGACCTGAGCGAGAGATGACTCAGCAGCGAGAGATAACTCAGCAGTGAGAGATGACTCAGCAGCGAGAGATGACTCAGTCGTGAGAGATGACTCAGCAGCGAGAGATGACTCCTCCGCGTACTAAAGTTGTACTGCAAAATGGCCAGTTCTCAGCTTCCAGCTCCGCAGGTTGCTCCGCATACTAAAGTTGTACTACATAGTCGCCAGTTCTCAGCCTCCAGCTCCCCAGATACTCCGCGTACTAAAGTTGTAGTACAAAGTGGCCAGTTCTCAGCTTCTAGCTGCACAGGTTGCTCCGCGTACTACAGTTGTACTACAAAGTCGCCAGTTCTCAGCCTCCAGCTCCCCAGTCACTCCGCGTACTAACGTTGTACTACGATTCCGACCATGCCCGACCATGATCCGAGCATGATCCTAGAATGACCCGAGACCGTCTCGCACCCATCATTCCGCAGAGCTAGACTTGCCAGGTTTGAAGCCACCGGTTCTATTGAAAAATACAGCATTTCGTGCGTCCGCTATCTCTCCAAAACGCATTTTGTATTGCGCCTGCCACGAAATCTGCACCTGGAGGTTCACAAAGTGCTGTGCCTGCCACGAAATCTGCGCATGGACGTTCACAAAGTGCTGCGCCTGCCACGAAATCTGCGCATGGAGGTTCACAAAGTGCTGCACCTGCC